GGTGATCAACAATTCTTGATTCTCCTGCCTTTCTGCAATTGTGTACCATTGTCAATCCAAATGGTCAACCTAACCATGAAGTTGGTTACTCGATCCTTGAGTAACGTCATGGTCTTAAATTATGTTTAAATGGGTTAATAAGGGGATATTTGAAGTCTTAGTGCATATTTTTAATCAATTTTACAAATATCTCTAGTGCTCATTAGATTAGTTTCGCTAATTACTATAAAATCATTCAAATCAAATTGATTATTGGATTGGAGATAATATTAATTAGAACTAAATTAAGTACATAATTTTCGAGGGAATGATAATTTAATACCTATTACTTAGCTATGACATCATACATTTACGAAATTTTAATGATCATTAGTAATTTGATTTTTTTTTTTTTTAAACTAGAAAACCAATGCTTGAAGGGATTTGTTTATCCTAATTTGTACCATATAGTGAAGGTCATCGGATCATTTCTCTAGCTTTACATTGCTGGTTAATGTTCAATAAAAGAATTTGCTGAGCAAAATAAAAAATAAAATTATTGTAGAGAAAAAAAAATCAGAAGAAGTGATCGAAATGATGTGAAGATAAAATATTTGATGAAAAAGCTAATTATATTTTAAATTGGCGAATGATAGAGTATCATATAACATTATATAAGTCAGGCCTCTTATGCAAATGCTACATCTGTCTTGTACTATGTGATCTTGCAAATTAATCTTTTCGTTGTAAAGTTTTAGAGTATCTTCAATACATTTTATTGATTGCTATTTATGTGACGTATAATTAGAAAGACTTTCGATTTATGTGGCATTAATATCCAATAGATAAGCGATTACATGCAAATTTCATCTACAATAAATTCCGTCTATACTTCAAATTATGCTTTTAATGTATATTTAGTCCTTGTTTTTTTCAACTAAAAATTTCAATTAAAATTTATGTTAAAGTCAACAATTAATTTTAATGATACGTTTCATATGATTTACAACTTTTCAACTATTTATTCCATTGATTTTTATCAAAATCTGCGAAAAATATGATTTCTATATAAAAGTAAACTGGGGTTTATTCAGAAAAAGAAATGAAATATATATATATATATATATACACAAGAGGGAGAGAAACTAAGAAGTAAGAGAGATAGAGAGAGAGGGTGAGAGAGAGATCAAGTTTTTATGACTCATTCCGTGTTAAAAAAAAATAAAAAAATAAAGAACTCTACGCGATTTAGGTAGATTTCTCACATTATCTGTTTTTCTCTTGCAACTTCAACTAGATATAGACCAGGACACCAGGCATACTTACATCATTGGGAAGAAACTTCTTGGAAACAATGTAAACTACCTTTTTAATGCAATCCATGTTATTATTGGAAATACTTTTATGTTTGAATGCTAAATTTTTTTATTATTCTTGGTGTACAGGGAACCCTCCAAAACCCAGAAAATGATTGTTGGATGGGTTTTATTTATTTATTTTTTTTTTTTTGTAATATTTTATTCGTAATAGTCCATTCCATGTGAGTTTACTAGGAGCCTGTTTGGGCCCGATTTTTTCACCCAAAAAATTGATTTTTTGACCGTTATTTCACTATTCTAGCCGTCATATTTGACTTCTTCTCTCACATGTGGACCCCACTTTTCTCTAAACGGTCAAAAAATCAATTCTCAAAATCACTCCCAAACAGGCTCTAGATGGGTTCAACCCCTCACTGTAAACTAAGAATAATTTAAAATTTTTTACCCTATCTATAAGTGCTATGTCATCGACGACAGGCTAGTTTGCGTAGTCCAAAAACACTGAACCACGACTTCGATTGTGGCAAACACTTTACGTTCCAAATTTTTAGTCAACAAGAAATTGTTCCTTGCAACCCTTGACAACATAATGGCTATTAGACCAAAAAAATAATAAAATAAAATTTCCTGTTTCTCATTCACCCATTCCCACACGCCAAGAGTCGTTCACGGGGATCCCAAATTCCAAAATCAGGTCCCCACTCCAAAACTTTTACTTGGATTTATCCTCTTTATCTCAAAATAAATTTGAGACTTTTATTTTTTGAATTAACTAAGAAGAGTCTCTTGAGACAAATTGACACGATTTTTCATAGAGAATAATGTAAAGGTATTTCTCTAAAAAGTATTAAAAAGTCAAATTTGCACTTGATTAGAGTTTAAACAATCGACAACTAATTTAGCTTGTTACCATTCAATTGAAGTACATTGATAACCATATATTTGGTTCATCACTCCTTCGTTAAGTCGTCTTTATTACCTAATTTATTTAAATAATGCTATGTAGCACAATTAGTGTTATTATACAAGTATAGGTGGCTGCAAGTAAATTAAACAACGAAATCGTCAAACCCAAAAATGGAATCGAAATCGCGTTTTCAAAATTGTTGATTTTGATCCATGTGGATCCTTCAATGTTTGGATTTGAACCAAATTAAATCGTTTGGTTTGGTTTAATTTTCAATTTTTACAAATAGTTTCAACTGTCAAACCCTTTAAAAAATATGAAAATATATTAACTTAAATTTTATGCAGCCTAATTAAAACTTAACAAATCACAATTGAAAAGACACATCAATATTAGACCAAACCTAAATTAAACACAATATTTCATCCAATTAAATAATTCTTCATTATAATTGATTTATCAAATCATACCCGTTAAAACTAAACAAATCACAATTGAAAAGACACATCAATATTAGACCAAACCTAAATTAAACACAATATTTCATCCAATTAAATAATTCTTCATTATAATTGATTTATCAAATCATACCCGATACTTATCAGTCATCACAGTTGTGAATGCAAAATTCTTAAATTGGTCAAAATATTGAATAAATGATACTGAACCATATTCATCGAATGTCCATCACAATTAACTAGACAACTAAATTTTAATCTTATTTCATCTTTCTACTCATTTTCTTTTATTGTTATTTATATTATTTAATTGTAATTAATGAATACATTTCCTGTTTTTTCTTATCTTAATGCAAAGATTGTCATCTGTTACAACTCTCCATATTGCACTATTAATGATCAGAAGTATATAACTTTGATTTGTAATATTGTCATGCTACTTATATATATGTTTTAATTGAGATTTTAGATTTGGCACCCATTAAATTCTATTTCATTGTTATCTCTCCTATTTTCAACCACACAATCTTTCATAAAATAATATTATACGTAAATCGAAAATTTTTCATTCTTTTTCAACCACTCATTTTTCTAAAAAAGGCTATTCCATCCATTTTCATTTCAAAAAATTGGGGCCAATATATGTTATTTTTTATTTGCTAAACCGTGATTTTATATTGAATTAAACTGAAAAAAGGTAATTTGATTTGTTTTAGAAAGTGAAGTGGTTTGATTTGGTTTAAAAAATAAAAAAAAAGAAAAAAATAGCCCTTTTCCTACCTAATCCAGCTTATCGATTGCTTTAACTTGTCGAGGTTTTGTATCAATTTCTATTGATCAACAGTTTCCATCTTCTCTTTAGCTTGGATCACACGGCTTGGAAGGTTAGAGAAGAATTCCTAGTTATATTTCTTTAACTCATATATATATATATATATGGTTTTATTTGAAAATTTGTCAAAAATCATTTAAATCGAACTGTGTTCACCCCTAACAAGAAGTGATGATGCATCTTAAATGTGACTCATTTCTTTACCTTTAAGGTGATCTATCAATAAATGAACCTTGTATACTATCTAAACTGATGCTTAGCACTTGTAATATCAAATGACATTACTCTATTCATTTTAGTGACATCTAATATGGATTTAAGAATAATATTTATATAGCACAAATTTACGCGTCAATATATATCATATATTCCATTAAATAGGTCATAAATTCTTGTATTTAATTGGACCTATAATTTAATAATACAGGTACTACAACTAGATTGATATTAAACACCAATGATGCTAAATACATCACTCACATTATAATATTTTTTTTATCATATGTGTTCTAATGAATGTTGTATACTTAGGGCCTGTTTGATAGGTTGAGTTTTCCATAGAAAATTGAATTTAATTTCCCACCAAAATGATATGTTTGATAGCAAACTTTTCCATGGATTTTATTTTCCTCCAACCCCCTCGCGTGACCTGATTTTCCATGGTTTTAAGAATTATTTTTCTTTGGGTTTTGGTGGGAAAATGGTTTTCCAACTTTTCTTTTAATAATTTTTTTAATTTTCTTTGGGTTTTGGTGGGAAAATGGTTTTCCAACTTTTCTTTTAATAATTTTTTTAAATTTGTTTTAATTCTTTTATTTTCAGCAATAGGAAGAAATTCTATCCACAATTATAAAAAAATTTTATTCCTTTAATTGATAATTTTCATGGAAAACAAAACCCAACGAGCACCAAAAGATCCAAAATTTTCAACATTTTTCAAATGGAAAATTATACCAATTAAATACATTTAATTAACAATTCACATTTAAATAAGTTCTAGACAATTCAATTTCTTGAAATTATTTTTCTTTTCATCCAAATTCCATTCTCGCCATTAAGTGGACAGAAAATATCTCTATAATAGAGAAGAGGAAATTATTTGCCTCATAATTGTTTATTTATGGATTTACTTAAGGTTCTATTACTCTCTTTTGGTCAAATCTGTTGCCCTTCAATGGACGCAGAGAGAATAATCCAAGTGTTCCCTGGGATATCCATTCAAGTTTTAAGCACTGTACCGGAACTAGGATACACCCCGGTATATCCTTTAAATTACCACCAAAAACCCACTTTTCCAGATTAATCATTTATTTTTAAAATAAGTTCCTCGGTATATTCCATTCGAACAACACTTTTTATGCATAATTTCTCGGCTTTTAAATACTCATCATTCTCATCCTTCACCTTCAAAAACCATACACACTTCTTTTTACAAATTCTAAAAGTTGTTTCAGAAAACGAAAAAAAGCAATTTTTAGATTATAAGTTAGAACGGAAAGAGAAAGATGTCTGGTCTTACGAGGGTGAAGAGAGTCACTGACCCGTGGGATGACAAGGTGATGGACCGGATCATCGGCCTGGAAAAGATTGCAACAGGTTATGCCAGCAGCGGTAGTGAACACAGCGCTCAAGTAGACGATCACGTAATCTCGCCGAGTTTATCTGGTATTTTCTTTGGTTTTACTGTTGACGACGCCGGAGACTCGTCACCAGAAGTCAATGAGTCGGATTCTGAGCACGATCCTTCATTGCATTATTCAAGCGAGGAGAATTTAGATATCATTAAACGGATTCTGCGAGGTGAGAGAGATGCCTTTGAAGTAGGACTTTTAGGTGTTGTTTTGAAATCTCTGGGAGTGTTTTCCAGCGTGAAGTCTAATAGACAGATTTTGCGCAGGAATGTGATGGTGTTTTTGAGGGATAAAGGTTACAATGCGGCTATTTGCAAAACGAAATGGGAGAAATCCGGCGGAGTGACAGCCGGAAACTACGAGTTCATCGACGTTGTTCGTTCGGACTCCAAAAGATATTTCATCGATCTGGATTTTGCTTCGGAATTCGTAATCGCGAGACCTACTAATTTCTACGAGAATCTTCTCCAATACTTGCCGAGGGTTTATGTCGGTAAAACTGAAGATTTAAAGCAAATTTTGAAGGTAACAAGCGACGCGGCGAAGATATCGCTGAAGAGCAAAGGCCTGCACCTCCCGCCGTGGCGGAAGCACCGTTTCATGCAGAACAAGTGGCTCGGTCCGTACCGGGGAACGACCAGCCTCTTTCCGGTTACATTTTCCTCTTCTTCGCCGGCGTTGATCCATGGTTGCGCCGTTAAGTGCCGGACCACTGGTTTTGACGCAGCCGTTCACGACGGCCAACGGTGGTTGTTTCCCACGACAGCCCGCACGAGATAATTGCAATATAAAATAAAAATAATATTCCAACTTTTGTTGAAATTAAAAGAAATTTTGCAAAGTTTATGGCTTTGCGTTATGACAGAGTACGCCTACGCGGCATCTCCACATTGTAAGTTGTATATACATATTAGCCACTATCTAGGTAGTTTAATTTTAATCACAAGCAAGTAGTACAATAATAAAATTTAGTTTTAATTTAAATAAATTCAGAACCACTGTATAGGCTTTTTTTTTTTTTGTGGGTTTAATTCCAGTACGAAACATGTTAATTAATCCTCTTTCTGCTCATAAAACTCTTATCAAATTGAGGTAGGAAAAATAATTTATTGTAAGAAAAACGAAGCTGACATTACTTCATCTGTATTAAAAAAAAAGTAAAAATAAATAAATAATAAATAAATAAAATTCAATTCCATTCCCAATTCATATCACAATCAAAATCAATTCATTGAAAGGTTAAAATGTTTATTTTCATGTGGTTTCATGCGAACGGGAAGAATATGCATGTTTTTAATAATGAATATTATGCTTTTTATACGTGTGTGGTTGCACATGAATCGGGAGTCAATTCTTTTATTTTTATTTTTATTATGCTTGTCTTTATAATACACACACATCATTTTTCTTATATTATCGATTCCTTTTACATAGTAATACATCAAGTTGTTACTCTTTAAAAAATACCACTCTACAGAATTAATATTCTATTAAAATATTATTTGCTCCTGATGAATATATAATATTAAAATTAATCATATATTATATTTTTGCTCTTGGTGAGTAAATCTTTACATAAATGAATGTTTTTAAATAATAATTTGTTGTTGTTTATTAAGTAGCAAAAAATTATATTAATATTTTAGAATAATATTAATTGTTCCTTAAAACCATAACATTATTGATTTATTGCTCTTGAAATATATATATATTATTTTCTAAAAAATGAAGAGATATAATCTATATGAAAATTTTATTAAAAATAAATTGCTTATTCCAGAAAAATCAAAACTTCACGAATTTATAAATATTCTAGAAGAATATTTTATTGTTATTCATCACACAATTTTATATTTCATTAATATTTCACTATGATATTACTTGGTCCCAAATAGTGTAATTTTCATACTGTATTATTTAATAATATTATTATACTATTACTTCTGAAGAGCAAATGTTATATGGTTGAAGTAATTTATCAATTTGACACAAGTTAAACAACTCAATATTGTATTGTAATTTTTGAAAGAAAAAAAAAACTTCTATTTTTTTTTAATATTCAAGAAAAATACTAAGAAAGAATAAAAAAGGTGCCACTCATACCGAGAAACCAAGTACGCTTGTTGCTCATGAAAAGCATAACATTTTGTAATTAAATATTCTCAAAGAATATTATGCTGAAATTCATTACCTCATATTTTGCAATTCTAAGAAATTAGGACATTTCCTATTGTCTTATTCTGCTAATTTTCATGGGGTTGAACATCAATAAAAAGTTGATGGAGCGAGTGATGAAATGCACTTCAAATTGTTAATTAATCATCGAAAATGACTTAAACAATAATTCGATAGGTATTAGACCTTAGGAATTAAGTTCTGAAGACACTTATAATCTAATCAACGCATAGTGAGTTAATTGTTTTGCCAATATCCGCAACCATAGATGAAAGAGTATTTAGCTCCCGAAGATGGTATTAATTTGTATATCGGTAGCCCTTCGGTGGCGTGTTAGACAAACATTCTATGACTTTTTACTTGAATGGAGTAAAAAGTTTGATTAGTCACCTAACTTAGCACTATGTCACGTTGTAGTCACTGAACTTTCTTTTGCAGCTGAACGGTCACTCAACTTCAAAACTCGCCACTCCATCCATCACCCAGCATCCCCACCGTTTGAAACTGTCTCATGTGGCTTGACGGCGACCGAGGTGACAATCGACGGCGTGAAAATTGGCCATGGTGGACACGATTTCAATTTACAACATACGATCCTTCACATCCAATATGAAATCCCGTCACTCCATTACCCCCTAATTCAATGTTCGAGCCCTAGATCCATTTCTTCTCCCCCAATTCGATTCTTCAGACTTGGGAACACCAGACTCAGGTGTTTCTTCGTCTTCATAGCAACGAGAGAAGTAGGTTTTTGTGATTTTCAACCCATTAATGTTTGAAACTGAATGTCATGTTGGTTTGAATTTGTTCCATGTAATCGATTTGAATCTGAGTTCGTCATGTTTGTTGGCTACTTGAATCTGAATTTGTCATGTTTTAGGAGTATCTTATTATCTATTAATCACTCGTGCCATTCCGTTTTGCATTTAGAATTGGATTTGGCATCTTTTGGAATTCTTTATAATTTATTAGCCACGCACTTCATTTCTTTAGAAAGTTTGTATTTGTACAATTTTCCAGTTTTCTATATTATTTCTTCAAATATGAAAATATTTGCCAGAATGATCGATGAGTATTTTAGTTTGCACCATCAGATTATGCTTAGCTTAATTTTTGCTTATAAATGTTTAATTATTGAAAACTCGTGTATTTGTATACCAAAACACATGAAAAAAGTATAAATTAAAGTATGAACCGAATTTGTAGGTGGAGTTCATGTTCCTACAATCCTACTCTTTATCCACATTATATGGAGCTGCATTTACATTTGGTTCATGTAGATTGGGGAAATTAATTATTAGAGCTATAAAGGAAAACATAGGCCAAATTTTATTTTACAACAGCAATAGCTATTTTGGCCTAGAAGCGGTTTTATAGATATTATCTTGATGGAATCTATTTGGCAGAGTTCTGTGTAGCATGCGAAGAGGCTAGAATCCCATGAACAAGATTAAAATTAAATTGATAGGAAGAAGATCCCAAAGATGGGACTAATAAATTTGCCCCAAGAGAGATTTTATGGTATATTGGTATATTAAAAGTTGAAACGTGTTTCCACAGATTTCTTGATCAGCTAATTAATCTTTCTTGCATCAGTTGCATGACAGAGTTGATATTGCAATTGGGAGATTTAACAGGATAAAGGTCATCGGTAGTGTTACTGGTTCTTTTAAGCAAAGCTTCTCTGATTTAGCATTTTATTCAATGGGGTAGCTTAACTGTTTTGTACATATGTATCTTAATGCTTGATAATAAACTTTATGCTGGGAATGTGAGCTTTTATCACTATACAAATCAGTTGTTAGGATTGATGTTTAATCATTGGATCTTTCGACTTTAATTGTGCATCAAGTGTCCCCATCATTTTGAATTTTTCTCCAAAATAGAATATGATTCAACCTTTGTATTTCTTTTCTTCGTCACTAGAAATTAAATTTAGGATATATAAGCACTTATTCTACTTACAGTAAACACTTTCAATGAATTCCCTCAATTTTCCTGTCAATCTTCAAAACTAATACTAATTTTCTGTGCTTTTTCCCTCTCTTGTTCTAAATCAACACGAAGACTAGTTATATCAATATTCAATTATAATCATCATTTATGTACAACTTTCCATCTCAGCTTCACAGCCAAGACTCTCTCCATTTTCACCAGCATAGCTTGGTTTGACACAGTCTTTCCATTCTCATACTCTTGAACCACCTATGGCTGCTCATTTATCTGCTTAGCCAGCTTGGCTTGGCTCATCTTCTTTGCGATCCGAGTGGGTGGGGTGCAAAAAACACTATTTCATCTATTCTGAAACACGACCATTAACAAAAATATATAATTCATCTGATGACACACTGGAATCATTGCTATCACAACATAGTCTATGTTAAATACCGGAATTATAAGCAACGTCAACACTGCAAGGTTTTTTTTTTTACTTGGCATGTTACTATCCACAAAAATTTATAAATTCCATTCCATAGCTAGACAAAAAGGCAAGACAATATGAGTCCAAATAAGCTGCCCTATCCTTCAAATATTAATCTGCCCGTTTGGTATTGCCTGAAGACTGCAGGGACGTTGTTGTCAAAGTGTTAACAAGTCGTCTTCTTCGTGCCCTTTTCAATCTCAACCTTGAATATTTGGCATCGTCTATGTATTGCAGCTTATCCACGAACACTTCGAAGTTAGCTTCGTCCGTAGGAATATTATATGAAGTGGCTGCTGGTCCATCTTTAAGAGTCGATGCGTGCAGCTCTCTCCCAACACATCAAATTTTACCCTATCAAGTCAAGCAAGCACATCTAGTTTATAAACTTAAAACTTTCGCATGTACATTGGAATCCTTATCAAAATAATGTAATTAACACCAAGTAAACACTCACTCTAAATTTAACACCAGAATGATTGGTCTTCTACATCAACTTTAATTGTATAAAATACATCAACTTCGACTTTCTTATTTGACATCTTGAAAATATCATCAAATTTTGTAATAACATGTTCATAATCCCCATCAACTTTAACACCCCCATCATTAAAATTAAATTAAATTCCAATACTAAATGCAGAATTTCTGGCAGATTACATGACATACAAATACACAGAGACTTCAATAATTGCCTATCAAAACAAAGACTACCAGTTTGCAGCCTCCTCAACCAACATTCCAGTTGCAAAAAAATTCAATAACACTCAGTGGAACTGTGGAAGATAATCTCATAATTATCTGTCCACTTCAAAGAGCTAACAAATCCAGATTCAACCAACATTCCAATTGCAAAATTCCAATTTCAACAAAATTCAATAACAGAGTATGGATCAAATTTGAGTAAAACATGACAATTTTTTTTTTTTAATGGGGGAACCTGTAGCCGCTACCCTTCGAGTGCGAACTGGGTAAACCCTCAAGCTCAATAGCCTGCAAACCATGCCAGTCAGGTAAACCACACTAGACAAGTCCGGTGCGATAGGTTTAACCGAGAAAGTGTTAATAGGGAAAATCGAACTCGTGACCAATGGTCTCCGCACTCACGCATTCCACCAACTCGATCACCCCACGAGGGGCATAAAACATGACAAATTCAGATTCAAGTACCCAACAAATTCGATTATTTTGGCAAATATTTTCATATTTGAGGAAATAATACAGAAAACTGGAAAATTGTACAAATTCAAACTTTCTAAAGAAATAAAGTGCGTGGTGAATAAATTATAAAGAATTCCAAAAGATGCCTAATCCAATTCTAAATGCAAAACGGAATGGCACGAGTGATTAATAGATGATAAGATACTCCTAAAACATGAAAATTCAGATTCAAGTACTCAACAAACATGACGAACTCAGATTCAAACCGATTACATGGAACAAATTCAAACCAACATGACATTCAGATTCAAACCACTTATGGATTGAAAATCACAGAAACCTACTTCTGTCGTTGCTGCGAAGACGGAGAAACATTTGAGTCCGGTGTTCCCAAGTCTGACGAATCGAATTGGGAGAGAAGAAATGAATCTAGGGCTCAGACCTTGAATTACGGGTAATGGAGTGACGGAATTTCATATTGGAAGTGAAGGATCGTGTTTGTAAATTGAAATCGCATCCACCATGTCCGATTTTCACGCCGTCGATTGCCACGTCGGCCGCCGTCAAGCCACGTGAGATAGTTTCAAATGGGGGGGATGCTGGGTGATGGATAGAGTGGCGAGTTTTGAAGTTGAGTGACCGTTCAACCGCGAAAGAAAGTTCAGTGACTACAATGTGACATAGTGCTAAGTTAGGTGACTAATCAAACTTTTTACTCGAATGAATGGGGTTATGCTTTTGTTCCTAACAAGTATGAGCATCTTCACAGACTCTAAATAATTTTTTTTTAATTAAAATAGTTAATGCTTAAAAATAAGTTTCAAGATATCCTTTGATTTACATTTTTAAATTAGAAACTGAATTTGATTCTCCAAATTTAAAAAATCACACTCACTCTATTATTTTATATTGTTGTATTTAGTAAGTTACAGATTTCAATACTCTTTATTAAATTAATCAAATCATATTTGAATTGATTGATGAATGGCATATAAAAAAAATATGTTTCAAAGATGATGAGAAATCAATAATTTTTTTTTTCCGAAAAAAAACATAAAATGAAAAACGAAAGTAGAGAACATTGTTAGAGTGCGAAAAATCTTACCGTCTAGATTTGAAGATTTTTCTTTATAGAGAAGTTTTGGAGATATTGGTGAAGGTCAAGAGTTTAACCTTGAGCTAAGCACCTCAAATAAAGCTATCTATACAAAGGGTATTATACTGCATATGATTTCTTCTTCTATTGATACCATATGTTCAGTTAACTATACAATATTTTAATTGCAATTAAAGTTTCTCACTTTTATTCACATCCAAAAAATTTCCCAAGAAAACATAAAAAAATTATTTGACTTTCATATTTTAAAATAAAACAAAATAAATACAAAAATTTCACAATATTTGCCCCTTATTTGAAAGCGCACGTTGACACAAAGGCACCTCCCATCAACTGCCAAAGGCCTGCAACTGCTAAAACCATGGACTAACCTCCCATCATGTGCCAAAGATGTGCTGCCTTTGACGCTCGAATTTGTGGACTAGAGTTTGCTCGGCGACAAGCTGGAATACCATCCAAGTCTTGCTGCCTAAATCTAGCCTACACGAAAGACCAACCACCGATGCTAACAACTGTATTCATTTACCACCAACGAGCTATAATAATGATATCTAACATCAGTCTAGATGTCAGCATGTTATGAGTCTTAATAGATGAGTCATAAATTCCTATTTTAATTGACCCTATAATTTAATGGTACAAGTGCGATTATCTAGATTGGTGTTAACATTAATTATGCTAAATATCATTACTCTGAAACTATCTTACCCACATCCAAAATCACACATTGTCTTGTACTTGAAATCCATCGGGACTATGACCTAATGGCAAGGATAGGGCTATCAATAGCATCATGCTTGGAATCTCTTGCGCATGAGATTTATCTCAAGGGTTGTTGACATTCACATTTCATGCCCCGTCAACTAAGAAGTTTCATATAAAAGAGAATTTTGTTGTAGAAATGTATAGAAGTGCAGAGAGTTAAATTATAGCAAATCATGCTAGTAAGGCCTTAAAGAATTAGCGTTGTCCAATGCCGTATGGTGATCTTGTTTCAATCCTTCTTGAAGCAACCACCAATTTATCTGATTCCAATCTCAACTTTCTCCATTTTTGGAGTTCTTGGAACATTCCAAATTGATCATCTATGTGGGTTGACTCAACCCGCAAGCCAAACACGTAACATTCTTCTATTGGTTCACAGTGAAATCATAAGCGAGTACATATATCATATTCTTGAAATTATCATATTCACTTCTACAGTTTCAATGAAGTAGCTGGAAAAATTGGCTCCTGTAAATTATCTCATACAATACACAAAAAACACAGACGGGACAAATATCATCTCTCTCTGTAGCTCCCCATGAGACTAGACGCTTGACCCTTGATAGCTTCAAGGTTGTTCGAAGAAGTAAAATTTTCACGAATGCACTTTGCAAGATGTGCAGCTTCTTTGTCTAACGTTAGTGGGCGCCGTCTCAGACTCTGCAAGTGTTTAGCTCTATCAAGAATTTATTCAGTTGTTCGTTAAAAAGAACGTGAAAAGCGAATAGCGCATACCTCAGAAGCCCACAAACAATCATGTGCTTTACGAGGAATTATATGAATGTGAGTCTGAACTTGCCATGCGGAGGGAAATTACATGGTATTAGTTAACCTTAATCACAATATAATCCATAAGAAGAATGCAATATTTGATTCAATCGAAAAAAATGAAATGAAGAAATTGGAATATTATTCGAACTCACATGAAATACAACTTGGCCTGCAGAAGCACCATTGTTAACTAGCAAGTTGAAAGCATCTGCAGGATTAAAACTTCAGGCTTCATAAATTTTATACATGAAGGAACAGACTCATATATGTCATGTGCATATTAAGTTAGCACCGATTAAGAAACAAGAGTAGTATTTCATTACGACAACGGTTAGAATGTACCCTTAATACCAGCTTCTACGGTGAAGATACCCAAGTGGTCGCCATGTGGGACACAATTAGAGCCATTTTACAATTTTTCAAGCAAAGGGAAGAAGGAGATGTCCAGAAAACTTAATTTCTTGAGAAACAACAGCAATGGAAAGGGACTGATTCGTGTACCTTTCCTGATTAAATATTACATTTAACCTTTAGGATTTATTGATAACGTCAAATTGCAACATTCATTTTGTAATTTCCATGGATTAGGAACTTTTGCTACCAAGTTATCTTTACGGTATCCTCTTATAAGGACAACTTCGTGTTTTGATTAGTTGATTGAGAAGGGTCAAGATTTTTCGATGAGTTTTAAAGATATTTTTCTTTCACTAAAAATTTAATAGTCAACTAAGCTGCCAAAAGCTTGCAGATTATTCTAAAAGACAGTTACCATGAATCTGAACATCTCTCTTCTTTTCTTGATCCAATGAATAGATAGAAGAAGGCGTGTAAGATATTTGTCCTCCTTTTGGACAAGGTAAATCAAGAATTTGTACTACTTAATACTTCACATTATTCAAGAATTTGTACTGCTTAATTCTTCACATTATTTGCAGATTAGTGAAGTTTCCAACGACAGTATTTCCATCATAATGAAGTATCTTAATTAAATACTAACAAGCCATGCATCAAACTGCAGAAATCTAAAAACAAGAGTCCCTACTCCCAAATAAAATAACAATGATGACGACGGACATGATAGAGAGGAAGGAAAAGTACTCACCACAGCCAGTAGCTTTCATAACTGCACTGCTAATCAAAGGTACTTTTGAACACATGGCCCCTATAATCTGCATAGCCGCATTCTGAGTTAGAGATGCACATATTTCTCATCTTTTATGACCAATACATGAAGATACATCTCTTATGTCCAGGATGATTACATGTTGATTGAAAAAGTATTAACTGGAATGTTCTTATATTAACCAGCCTACTACATAAAATTATGCCACCACTGTCCACTTGTAGAGAACACGAGGATTGTCCTTGTTGAAGCATTTCAGTTCCAAAAACATGTATAAATGAAAGCTATTGAGGAGTTAACAAATAAACAATGACGAGAACCCTCATTCCTATAATGCTTCGATAATTAGCTGCAAAATTTTTCATAATGTAAGGCGGCAAGAAAAGTATATTTTCCTTAAATATAAAAACTTAAAAAACTGAAAGCAACAGTACAATTAATCATGAGGTAGACGAATGGTGTAGAAAAAATTAATAACTGGAATTAATTGCCAGAAAGGATGAAAATTTAGTAAAACTCCATGCTGAATGAGCACGGGTGAATAATTAAATTGCACACAAATCTAAAATTGACAATAACTAAACTTTATCCTTGCTATTTGCACAGAATCATTGCATTGCTTCATATTTTGAGTGTTTGTCATTCATATAGACTGATTTATGAAGACTTCAAAAACAAAAATCCATGTTGCTGGGGATAGATAGAATGTGGTTGATGATGAAAACTACTAGAGGAAAAACACAAAAGAATCTAATATGTTCTACAAACTTTGAAATAGACTTAAGAGGGTGAATAACTCATCATGTGTGATGAGAAAAACTTACCGCTGGAGGAGTAGCATCCAATGAAGAAAAATGACGCTTTGGGATAATTAGTGAGTGCCTAAGACATTGTAAAATGCGGTTAGAGACCATAATATGTAACAAATTGAATAAGATGAAGTAATTATTTTCTGTGCTGGTAAATATAGTTAACACCCACACACACGGCTTCCATCCAGTATTTCCTGGCATTTGTGTTTTTATTCAGAGATATTTCAACAGAATTTTATGCATTAGAAAAAAAAAATTGATGGAAATATTAAATACTATCAATCCTTGTACATCAAAAAAATACCACTACATTGAGCAATAGATCCTAAAACTAAGTGGCTTATACAGTTGATACCTTACCCATGACACAATGGATTAGTATCCAAAATACATAGGCATTCATCATCTTCATATACCTATAATCAAATTGAATTCAACAAATAGTTAGAGAAGCAATAATAGATAGTGATAAACATAGTTCAAATTCTTATAATTTAACATATTTCTTTATTTGAGAATAAAAAACAGCAACTTTAAAAGGTGTGAGGAACTTTATAGAGAGATTCTTTAAAAATTCAAAGAAAAAGTAAAAGTAAATTCTAAGAATTAAAAACTTAAGTACGAAGTAATGCCAATGAATACTTAGCTGTAATTCTCAAACCAATTAAGCATGAAGCAATATAAGAAAACAAAGCAACAAAGGGGGCAGATATGTACCCAATGATCCCACTCAACTCACAAAACAAAGCAGACCAGATCAAGGATCACACAAGCAACAAATCTAAAAGAGGTAGGAAAAAAAGGCAGCAGTGACAATTTCTTAGAGCATTGACAATCCATTTTCCTTTTCGTTGGAAGCCACATCGAATCCACTTGTTTGTTTCCAGATTTTTATTAATTTGCCAACAAATCTAAAAATAGACAAAAAAGCAGCAGTAACAATTTCATAGAGCGTTGACAAACCATTTTCCTTTTCATTGGAAGCCACTTCGAATCCACTTGTTTGTTTCAGGATTTTTATTAATTTGCCACATAATTACCAAAATTAAAGCTTACACTGTTGCAGAATAGTCCAAGCTAATATGGGGTGTCATCAACATACAAATATAAACTCAATAAAAGTTATCTCATATTAATAATGGCTTAGAAGAAAAATCACATATTATGCAATAAAACGTTAGCCGGTAGCTAGCTTGTCACGAGTGCACAATATCAAAACTTTGGTGGAAAGCAGTAGTCGAGGAAAAATTTGGAACTATATGCTCCTTATAGTACCATTTTTCCTTCTGTTTTCTTTTGACCAGATAATGGACAACCATACGATATCCAAAGTAGGACACTTCTCCTAAACTGACTAAAATCTTTTCTGAGGTCAACTCCAGTATACCATTTGTGAGTTTTTCTTTAGCAGGGAAGACATTAATGCCAAAGATCAAGATCCCAGTAGGTGAGAGAGTTCTTTTAACCTTCCTCACAAAGTATAGAAGTTTGCATGTCGTCTTTTATCAAGAATTACCATAAAAATATTGAACTCATTTGGTAGCTCATAATTAATCATGTATATTAAACTCAAAAAAATAAATAATAATAATAATAAAAATAAAAATTATTTTGAATAAGCTGGAACTAAGTTAGAATCGATAAAAAAAATTACAGTTAAATCAACTTTTAATTAATTCATCTTTTAGTTGGGTCATGTAGTTTCTTCCATTTTGAGTCCCCTTGGGATTAGAGGTCTTAGGCTCTTGCCTAGTATGCTTGGACCTAGGACCGGCCCTGCTGCTTCTTCCTGCTTGTAAATGGTAGTACAAGCTCTCTCCTTACGGCCCTAAATCTTTTCTCCCCCTTAGATCTCATTATTTTTGCCATTTTTTCTTCCTATACTCGTATGAGCTTCCTCATTAGTTTTTAGGATTTATCGTTGAGACTTGAGATAGAGATGAATTTAGAGTGACATTTTATTTAATTTTATTCTTTTACATTTAAGTAAATTTGCATAAGATTAAAAATGTAATATAATTTTTAAAGAGTGGAAAGATATATTAAAAACATTATGATTTGGTGTATCGTGTGTGTGTGAAGAATAGGTATGAATGACAATTTATTGTGCAACTTTAGTGGGGCCAAGGTTTGAGGCGATCTACCTTGACCAATCGAGCAAGTATTCGGGATTTCATTACTAAAACTGATCTAAGCAAGTATATAATCTCATACAAGGAAAAATGAAGGTTTACTGTCTTTAACTGTTCAGAAAAAATGAAGAGTTAAAATCGCACGCTGAGAAGTTTATGTCAATGGAAAAATGAAGGCTTGACAGGATTATTTACCTTATTTATTTTTGAACTTATGTCAATGGCATTATTTCACACTATGCTTTTAATGTAGGATATATCAGCACAAAACTTGATGTCCAGAATCAATTATTTATTGATTATATATATATAGACAAATATTTGAAATCTTGAGTTCCAGACTTGAAAACTTCTTGAATTTCTTGAAGAATCTCGAAGGACCAACTTGAAAATGTCTTTTGTCATCATCTTCTTGCCTTTTGAATTATGGTTTTAACTTTATTAAAGTTACTTTAATAAAGTTGTCTTCTTTTTGAAAGTTGATAAAGCTAACAGGAATAATTTTTATGGTGGCAGACACATTTTCAAAAGAATCTCTTTTCATTTATGAGCCCGATATTTTTTAAACTCATTCAAATAGTTGAGTGCATATAATCATTTAGTATTCTTTTGAGTTTCTTGATCAATATCAATCCCATAGCACATATCTTTACTATAGGCATAGTTTGGTATTCAATTAGATTGAATAGAATCTTCTTTGATAGATATTGATTTCTTTCAGGCAGTCTCAGTCAGAGATGCAATTTTCTTAGAAATTATTGCTAATTCTTTTTGTGTTTTGCACTGATTGAACATAGTCATTAATCTTGATTTTTTAATCAGCAAATCAGCATTTTTCTGTAATTCTTTTTTTGAAACTTTTGGAACACTGATATATCTTTGTTCTTTAATCCATGAATTCACTGCTTTTGGACAGCAATTGGTTTCATGAAATTTCGACCACCATTTAACCTTGAATTTTCTAATAATTTTATGTGATATTCATAATTTAGATCTTGATAAACAAAGAAATTCGAATAGAATATCCATGAGACGCTCATATTAAGGGCAACTTGGAACAAAATATTTTCTTGAGGCTTTAAAAAAGATTTTGCCTCTTTTTTGAAGTGTTTGAATCCTTGAAGAATTAGACTAGGTGAAATCTTCTCTTCAATTCTAAAATTTTCGAACCATGTTTGAAACTATTTTGAAAAACTTGAATTGCAATTTTGATGAAATAGAATGAACCAAGAAGGTGTTATTGGTCTAAAATAAAATACATTACAGTATGCATCCTTGTACTCAAAAAAATTGAAATGAGATTCAAATGATTCGCTTATAGAGAGACGCATTTGCTTCTCATTTCAAGGTTGTTGTCTCCAGTCTTCATATGACAACACCATTTGAATGCTAATTGCTTAAAAATTAATTCTTTTTGGATTTTGTTGGTTTGGGGTATGAGTAAAGATAGCTGATCCAGTTTTTATAAGAATAGCTTCATAATACTCTCTGGATTTTTTGATGTTGCAAGGCATGAATCAGAATTTTGGAGGAAAGAAGTCCAAAAGACATTCGTGTAAATTTGCATATCTATTTATCCAAGATGTTTTCATCTCGAATACTGGGTCACAGGCTGATTTGAGGAAATATTGAAAAGTTGGTGGAAGGTTTATTTGAGGAAGCTTTTTCCAAAACCTTGAACAGCCTTTTTAAAGTTTGAAGATTTAGTTTGTTCTTGATTTGGTTTATTTTGATCAAGAAACTCAAAAAAATACTAAATGACTATATGAACCCAACTATTTGAATGAGCTTCAAAAATATCGGGCTCACAAGTCAAGAGATTCTTTTCAAAATGTGTCTGCCACCACAAAAATTATTCCTGCCAACTTTACCAACTTTCAAGAAGAAGACAACTTTATTAAAGTAACTTTAATAAAGTTAAGACCATTATTCAAAAGGCAATAAGATGATGACAAAACACATTTTCAAATGAAACACAAAAGTGGACCAGTAATTATTGTCCTTCAAGATTCTTCAAGGAAATTCAAGAAATTTTTCGAGTCCGGAACTCAACATTTCAAGTATAAATTCAATTCAAGATCAAAGATCTTCTCAAGTGTGACTTAGCGGGAGATAAATCGGCTTCAAAAAAGTTTGAGAAAAACCTTTATATTTTTAAATTTTCTTAAGTTTTCAAATTTCAATCTTGTATTATCAATTTTTATATCTCAATAAAATACACACACACACACACACACACACACATATTACTTGACAAGTTGGGAGTCTTGTGAGAAGCTAAATTTAAAACAAATAATATTGATTTTCCCTAGTTAGGTGGTTCGATTCTAGTGTCATTGTCTTTTGTTTCGTTTTATTTTGAGTACATACTTTTTTGACTTGCTTGTTTTTATTTCATTTCCCCTTCTTGTGTCATTGTGAACTTTAGTAGTACCATTTGTAAGAAATGGGAAATGACATCTTTCCAAGAGTACTATCAACAACTGCTTTTTAGGTGATGGTGGTCCTAAACGTGATTTGTATTTCAGAAATCATATTAGATTTCGAAGAATGCAAAACAAAATCTGATGCAATTTCATCAATTTATCAAGAAAGAAGAATAATTGTAGCTAACAAAGTTAGTGAAATTCAGCTTGCTTGATCGAACTTTCTTCTTCTTTCTTTCTTTAGCCTTTGTTGTTTGAAGCATTCTAATATTCATAATTTCAATAGACAAAAAATTTATTTCATGTTAATTTAATCTTCAATCAGTTCAGCTTTATTCTTATTTCATTCATTTGGTTTAAGAGTTTATGATTTTAAGGATTGGGCGAATCTACAATGATAGGGATGTATTTAAAGTGGGATGAATATATAAAATTCCTGTGAATATATAGTATTTAAATGAATGAATTTAATAAGGGCAATATTGAAATATGACGTGGATGTAAATAGTACTTTTTAAAATTTTATTTGGGATGTACTTATAAAAAAATATGGATAGAAATAGCAATACCCTCGATGTTATCTGTAACGAGGATGAATATAATATTTTTTAAAAATTTTGAAATTGTTGTAGAATAGATTTAGATTAGGATGGATGTATAAAAACTCAGTGGATATATAGTGTTTAAATAAATAAATTTAATAAGGATAATATTGATACTTGAAATGGATGAAAATATCATTTTTTTCAAGAGTAATGTTATTTGCACTAACTCATTGTCTCAGTCGTCTACGTGGCATACATGTGACAATGATTTGATACATGAGTTAAGAAAAAACTACGACATTAATACATTAAATCACAAACCATCACATAGGATGTCACTATGGACGACTACACACAAAGTGACTATGAATAACATTTCCTTTGTTTTTTTAAACTTAAAATGTAGATAAAAATAATATTTTTCTAAGAGCCTGTTTGGTACCCATTTTTTTTTTTTAAAATGCATTTTTCTCTCTCTTCTTTTCAACTACACATTCTTTATTAAAATAATATTACACGTAAATCAAAAACTTTTCCTTATTTTTCAACCACACATTTCCCATCAATTTAATATTCAAAAATGCATTTTTATATAAAAATATCCACCAAACATCCTCTAAAACTTCAAAGTTATAATAGGGATAGATATATAGGATGATATAGATACTGTATATAATATTTGTAGGTGTAATTATGGGCTGCCTTACTTTTTCTTGATCTTATCAAAAATAAAGAAAGAAAAAACAGATTACTTCTGAATTTCATCAAGCCAAAAAATTATTTCTTGAAATCATAACTAAATCAGGTAAAAATAACTCCAAAATGAAGAGAAAAAAGGAGGAAAAAATGAATGAAAGAAAGAAACATTATACCTTTAAAGCAGGCGCCTCTCCTCGAATAATATTACAAAAAACACAATCACTTCTGCTGTAATTATCCTTCTCGCCTTTTTCTGAAGCAGAAGTTGAAGCTAAAAGAGGAGAAACTGGCCGCAAAATTTCCGCAGGAGGGTTAATATGCGAAGAAAGGATAAGAAGACGACGTCGCGCTAGTGACTCCATTTTTATCATACAGTTTAATTATTCAACTGGAAAAGGAGAAATTGAATGGATCTTCCCCATGGATTTACTGCTTTCTGTACACAGAAGGGCGAGAAAGAATGAATGGACTGGGAATTGTGATTTGGTTGCTCGCTAAAATTTGACACTTGTATTTATTTCGTGGTTGGGTCTCCATTATCCACAGAATAGTTTGCTATTTAATAAAAATAAAATAATGTCTACTTTTATTGCTTCAATAATTTTATATTTGTTTTGTAACTAGGCCCTATTTAGTGGATATTAAAATTAAATTTTTTGTAAATTTTGATAAAAAAAAATAATGAAATGTACCATTAAAAATTTATTGATTTTATAAAATATGTTATTCCAATTAATTGTTAATTTAATTTAGATTAAAGTTTAGATTTTAATCATCACCAAACAGTGAATAAAAATAAGGACATGAGAAGGTGATGAAACAAGACAAAACTATTGTGTGTGTGTGTGTAAAAGATAATAAGAACGATATGGATTTAATTTTTATTAATAAATAATATTTAATTTACAACACTTCTTGTGAATGATAATTTACATAACGTTTGTCTCATTAAAAACTTCATTTGGAAAATTTCAAGGGGACAAATATACTAAAATGAAAGAGAAAAGAGTACCAAAAAAATTGAAGTAATAAAATTCCGTCTCATTAAACCTTGTCAAAAAAAAGAAGAAGAATAATAAAGAAACTCGTTAGGACAAAATTTGAGTGAAAAGAAAGGAATATAGGTTTCTCTCAAATTTCAATAAATGAAAATCTTTGAATCAAAATATCCATATATTGTGCGCAATGTCATAATTCTTAGTCTTGTTATAGCTTTCAAACAATATCATTCTTCTACAAGATATTTATAATCCTTGGTGATTGCCGTCCACCTGACGATTCAATGAAAGGCATATCTTATTGCTATTTTCTTGAGAAATTTCATTCATAATTTGTAACATACAATAGTATTATGATGATGGTAAATATCTTAATAGAAAAAATCATGTTGAAAAAAATTAGTAAATGAAAAATAGTATACCATAAAAATTGTCTCGGTAAAAATCTTATAAAAAAAACATAATTGGAAAAAATTTCGACGTTGAAAAAGGAGTAATATACACCCTCATGATGATATCACTTGAAATATATGCTTGAAGCATATTACATCTTTCAAGAATTTATAAAAATAATATTAATATGCATATCACATTTCATGATTGCCAGGGTAACAAGATTTCAACTTATGATTGCATCCAGCACGAGAGAATTCATCTATTATAAAAAGTCATTGTGAAAAACATTACGTTAAAATTTCTTCATTATATCTTACGATTTTTATTATTTTTATTTCTTTTTTGCATAAGTAAGAATGGCTTATACTTTTAGATGTTACGACTATATGTTAAAAGAACTTCACGTTTGTGCAATAAGTTCAATTTTGCGTAGACTACGTCCTTTTATTTAGTCAACAATTTCTACATCGATAGTCTTTAAAGGATTTCCTTTGATACCCTCACTATCATTCATAATATAAAGCATTAAATTATGCATAGAAGTATTATCAACAACTTATTCATTTCTTTTCCTACAAAGGCTTAACTTACGAATTCTCTCCATTTTTAGTATTTAGGTACTTGAACCTCTTATGTATTTTTAAAATTAGTTATGTCAATATATTCTCCAAGACTGCCTCCTCATTGAAACCATCTTTATTATATGTTGCATTTTCATTTAAATTTTTTTATCTTTGAATTAAATATAACCACTCCTTAGGCATGCATTAAATTTACCAAATATAATTTAACTGATTGTCCTTTCAAGATTTTTCAATCAGAATTGGAGCATTTATATGGCTTGTTTATGAGATTTAATTAATTTCTTTGGTTAATAAACAATCTAAATGAATTATCTTTAAAACTTTTGATTCAAATTGTCTTGGACAAGATTTAGAGAATATAATAATTCATCATTTTTTTTCAGCTATTTAATTCATCTGCTAATGCTGAGAAAACATCTTATCAAAATGACAATCAACAAACCGTGTTATAAAATATCACTCGTTGAGACTTCAAGATGTTACGTAATAAAAAGAGTTTAAACCAAACATGTATTCTCATAATCGAGCACTATGGTGGAGTAGTTCTACATACATTGTATTATCAAAAATTCTTAAATGTGAAATATTAAGCTCCTAACAATAAGCCAACTATAGCAGGGAGAATTTTGATATTGGTAGGAGTGTTGCTATGTGTAAAATAGCATTCCTTAATTAGAAATTATGTTAGTTTTTGTTTTCAATAATAATTGATTAGCAATTTGGGCAACAAAAAATTTAACATTTACATGACACACTATCTTAATTATATAATATTATGCTCAAATTAAAAATTTGAACAAATAATCAAAATTCATGATGCAAAAATATAATGATCACAAAACCATTTAGCTGATGCATCTTTTGAAATAACATAAGGTCTAAATGGTTCGCGTGGAGGGTTACGGGGCCTGACATATCACCAGAAATGCTTCCCAGAAATAAAAATGATTCATTCCAATTTAATCTAGTGTGGTCTAATGACCAATTTGCCCTGAAAACACTTAGTACATGAAAATTCAACAAATTAAATAATCATCTAGTTCTTCATAATACAAATGAGTCATTTACAAAAATTAGTGTGGTCCACTTGGAATTTATATTAGTCACGAAGAGTTTCATCGCTTGCCAACATGTCTCTGATTAAACAATTAGGTCTCAATCGTTGATAAGCGTAATTTAACACTTATTCAAACCAATAAAAATGGATGTTTTGGAGTTACTTTTATTACATTTGTACTTAACTTTGGTTAGATATTGATTGTTGAAGGAAAAACTCAACATTGGATGGTGGATTAAGAAATAGATGTAAATAAGGACTTGAGCTAAACCAAAAAGTATATTTCAAGGATTAACTTGAGCTCCAGATCGAACATTATGATCTCAATATTTCAGTCATGTGATGGTGAGAAGATGAAATATAGAGCCAACATGTTATGAGTGTGAACCATGAGATTGCATCCTATTGAGCAATGCGATCGCACGATTGAGTGAGATAAACTAGATTTTATTTCAAAAGTTAATTAGGCTTCTATATCGAAGGAGATTGGGACACAAGTTTTTGCCCTTACCTTGGGACTATAAAAGAGAGATTTTTCAAGAATCAAATTCAATACCTTCACTTGAATTTTGAAAAAAGAAGATGAGAATACAAGAAGATTATTCAAGAATTGTTGAAAAGATTCAAGAGTTCAAGAGTTATTCTTCGTTCTCTCTACAATTAAATTTCAGGTGATGTAATATTATTTCACATTGTATTTGTGTGTGTATACGATGCCAGTAGAAAAATGCTTAATCTTTAATATAAAATATTAAAAATTCGTGTTTGTAATTCAAATATTTGTTTCAAAAATATATCTTATCTTGCAAAAGATTTAGACTAAGAAGCAATTATTGGAACTTCTTTTATTGTTTAATATATCCATTCGAAGTAAATTCAAAAGGACTTACTGCAAATATTTTTGGTCAAGAATTATTTTTAAAATTTATAAACTCTCATTCTTATAAAGATGTCAATTCTTTAAAAAAAAGTGTCTATCTCAAAAATTATTAATAATATTAATTTCAAAAAGAATCATTTTCAATTTCTCAAATAAGAAATTATATTTCAAATAGTTGAAGAACAATGACAAAATGCTTCAATAAAAGAGAAAATTACAAAATGAAATTGAAAAACAAATATATTCTACAATTCACAATGCTTTTTGGAATAGAAAGAAATATATTATTTCTCTTCCATATAATTCTAATTTTCATGAATCACATATTCTTACAAAGCCCCATCATATTCAAATGAACAAAGAGTTACTTGTCATTGTATCAAGAAGATCAAAGATTGACTTGACAAGGGTCTTATTTGGCCAAATAAATCACCATGGAGCTACTCTGCATTTTATGTCAATAATTCTGCAAAAATAGAATGAGGTGTTTCACGGCTCGTTATTAGTTACAGACCACTCAATAAAGCTCTTCAATGGATAAAATATTCATTACCTAGAAAGAAGTATCTATTAAACAGATTATTTAAAGCTGTCATCTTCTCAAAATTTGATATGAAGTCAGGATTCTAGCAGATTCAAATAAAAGAAGAAGATAAATACAAAATTGCTCTTAATATTTCTTTCAGTCAATATGAATGGAATGTTATGCCATTCGGTCTAAAAAATGCTACTTCAGAATTTCAAAAAAATCACTAGTGATATTTTCAATCATTTTCAAATTTTTATAATTGTATACATTAATGATGTTGTTATTTATTCAGAAATTATATAATAGCATTTCAAGCATTTAAACACATTCATTCACATGCTCAAGAAAAATAGATTAGCAGTTTCTGCTAAAAAAAATCATTCCGCGCCAAACACACATTAGGTTTTTAGGACATAATATCCATTTAGGAACCATTACTTCAATTCAAAGAAGCTTAGATTTCACAGGCAAATTTCCTAATGAAATCGTATAAAAATCTAGTTTGCAGTGATTTTTAGACCGTGTCAATTATATGTCGGACTTTGTTAAAGATATAAGGTTAATATGTGCCCCTCTTTTTAAAAGACTACAAAAGCATCCTGTATCATGGAGTTACAAGCATGCTTTAGCTGTACAGAAAGTTAAAGAAGTTGTCAAAAGTATCCCATGCCTTTCAATTGTAGACCCTCTTGCATCCATTATTGTCGAGACAAATGTGTCTGACAAAAGGTATGGTAGCATTCTAAAGCAAATTCTAAAAGAGTCTAGCTAAAAACAACTAGTTAATTCTATTTTGGTGTTTGAACTGGCCCTGAAAAAACTATTCCACTATAAATAAATTTAAAAAAAAAATCTTATCTATTGTTTTATGTATTTCAAAATTTCAAGATGGTTTAATCAATAAAGAATTTGTTTTAAAAACAAATTGTGAACTGTCGAAAGACATTTTGCAAAAACATGTAAAAACATCATTGTTTTAAAACAAATTATACCAAGCCATCTTAGCTTGCTTTGATTTCGAAATTCTATATATACAAAATAAATCAAAATATGT